TCTGAAGTGTACCTGGCGTATAAGACGACCCCCCACTTGGAGGCATATTTTTCAGGGCCAAAAAATCGTCTTATACGCCGGCAAATACGGTAGGACTTTTTCTAGGATGAGTTCGCGAACTTAATTATCCGACCTTGTATGTGAAATTGGAGGGCAGAAGGGGCAGAAGACCTTTTTCTTCAGTGTGGTGGCAGTTATGTACAGGTTGCAGCAGACACAAGTTTGTGCAGTGGCCAGGCTCTGCATCCCACTGTTTAGTCACACACTTCACGAGCCTGGTGTAGTTGTGAGTTGTATGGTTTCCGGCAGCTTTCTGACCTCGGGTTACAGCTGCTGTGGTGCCTAATGTCCACCCTCTGACTTTTGCAGCTGCAGCGTTCCCAAGGCTTAGCAAGCACCTGTTCCTGCTTGAACCACCAAGAGTGGTTTCTGATTTCTGCACTGAACTCTGAGGAATAGATAGAAGTGGTGCTCCCTGTTTCTCTGCTACTTGAGTCTGTTCTTAACTTTGATAGGTATGGGGATGAACGTGGGGAGGTGGAGGCAAAATGGGAGGGTTGGATTATTGTGACTGACCCTGTTCTTTCCACTTTCTGTAAGGGGGTGGTATGGCTTTCTGCAGATGCTCACATCCTAGCTGGGAGTTCCCAGTTTCTTGTTACACGTTACGGCCAAGGAAGCAAACAGACCCCTTTTGGCAGGATTGATACAAAATGGTTTGCCATGCTCCATCTTAGTAGTGGCCCTACTAACCCTGCTTTTGAGGTGGCAGAGGGCTCAAACCAACTTGGGTGGCACTTGGCCAGTGTTCACACAGGTTCATCCTAAAGTGGAAGGGGAAAATTCTTCTGCCCTGGGCAGGATCGAGCTACACTTTGGTGAAAGCTCAGGCTTTTCTAAGGATTTCAATACAGCCACTTAGAGTGGGGGGACTGGCACCTCGGGCCCAGATCTTGTTATCCTGCTCATTTGCTCTACCAGTTGTGTGGTCACTGCGCCCCCTCCCATGATGAAGGCTCTGAGCTGTAATGTGGTCTAGAAATGGAAGCACCTGGGGCCATGTGACTCAAGTGTGTACAGGCCTGTCACAGGTGTGAAAAGGAAGGAGCCTGTGTGTGTGGACAGGGCAGGCTGAGTTCTGACTGCCAGGGGACCTCGCAGGTTACTAAAGGGAAGCTTCCTGGCTCTCACTTGGGGGAGGGGGAACAGGTGTAAGTGATGGGTGCTGAACCCCCTGCTTTCACATCAGAGCTTGACTTGCCAACAGAAGGAAAATTCAAACACTTTATTTTAGGTTATAAGAGAAATAAAAGCCACACTACCGTTAAATCAGATCAGAAGGAACACTGTTTTGCTCACATGTAAGTTACGCAGACTCTTTGACCCACTTCAGGGGCGATCTCTGGCCCGCTGCTTTTTCAGCACTGAGGTGGCACCTTTTCACTCACTGAGCTGGCAGAGCAGAGCAGATCCCTTGGCAATCCAGTAATCTTGGGACCGCTTGGAGGGTAAAAGGATGGTCACCACAAAGTTGGTTGAATGACCTAGTAAAGGAAAAAAAAGGGTCATTACTTAAAGAATAACCCCTTAATACAAAGAGCACAGTACTAGGCGTCAAGACACCTGGGTTTCAGACTTGACTCTGCCTCCAAGAGGATGGGCAAATAGACCTCTATGGATTTCAGTTTTATGTGCTATAAAACGAAGATGTTAGAATAAACGATCCTTTAGGACCTGCCCAGCTTAGACTTTGTATAACCTTCTGAACTATGTTGCAAGTTCTCTGTAGTCTGACTGGGAGCATTGGATTGGGGTTCAGGCCTGAGCTTTTAGTGGCACTCAGGGGATGGCATCCATTTATTTGTACGTCCATCTATCCATCCATCCATCCATCCATCCATCCATCCATCCATCCATCCATCCATCCATCCTTTGCTAAGCACAGTCATAGGTATTTTGTTCTCAGCTCTGGGACATCTGAAGTAAGAGGTAATTTTTGTAGTTTTTTATTCTGGGCCTGTGAGAGGGGGCCAGGAGCAGGGTGAGAAGAAGAGGGTCCTGCCCTCGAGATGGCAGTTGCTATTTCTGGCACTGTGTTCATAGCAAACCCTATCTGTGTGGAAGCTGGGGAAGGCGTTGTCCCTAGGAGAGAACAGCTATATCTTCCCTCTCCTTACCTTTGTATGCCATTCCCTATGTGACGTCTTGGCAGGTGCTTGAGTGACATTTTATAGTACATATGCAGTATCTCTCTCTATTTAACCATTAGTTTGATTCAGGATTCAGATAAGGTTCAGACCTTGCAACAGTGATGTATCTCTTAAATCTCTTTCAATTGGTAGGTTACTCCTGTTCCTTTTGCCACCCTTTGTAATATAGTGGTTGAAACAACCAGCCTGTTTGTCCTGAAATGTTTCCCAGAGTCTGGGTTTTGCTGACAGCATCACTGTGGTGATTTTAAATGTTCCTTTATTCTTGTAAAGGGGTGGTTAGATCTAGAGGTGTGATCATCTTCAGGTTGGAGTTTTTTGGCCAGAGTACTTCATAGGTGGTATGTACTTCCATCAGGAAGCACCTTACATTGGATTGCTTTTCTTTTTTGGGGATGTTAGCAGCCATTGATGATTATTACTTAGGGCCATTATTTCATTAGAGTGAATTTTAAAATTTAGTGATGATTAAATTTATAGAATCTACCTGTGATTTAATTTGTGTTTGTAGTACGAGATAAGGATCAAAGTTTGGTATAACCAATTGTCCCAGAACCATTGGTGGAATAATTTCTCTGTTCCCGACCAATTTTAAATGATGCTGCTATTCTATGTCAAGTTCCCAAATATGCACAATGTGTTGCTGGTCTCTCTAGTGCATTTGGTCTATTTGTCGAGTCTGGTGCTGGAACAGCATTATTTTAATTACCACCTTATTTTGGTTCCTCTTGCCAAAAAGAGTTCTTGTTGGTATTTTAGCCAATATTAAGACAAATAACTCAATTAAAAAATGGGCAAAAACTTTAAATAGACACTTCATCAGAAAAGATATAAGTAAATACACACAAGAAAAGATGGTTGTCATTAGCCATTAGGGAAATGCACATTAAAACCACAGTGAGATACCACTATCATCTATCTTTCTATCTATCCTCTGAAAGAGTAATCCTACTAAGAGGTGATGAGAGTATGGACAACTAGAACCCTCATCAGCTACTAACGGGAATGTTAAATGTTAAGCTGGAACCCTCATTGACTACTTTGAAAAACAGTTTGGCAGTTTCTTAAAAAGTTAACCTACCACATGATCCAGCCATTCCATCCTAGATATTTATTCAAGATAAATAAAAGTACATATCCACACAAAAGTTTTTACATACCATTATTAATTAAAAAAAAACCTTTTAATATTCTTTTAGATTTGAAATAGGAGTGGGAGATCAAGGCATGTGATAGGAGTGTCTATTTTAGTTCTATTCTGTGTTACCTGTAGAGAATATACTTTCATTGAAGATTTTATTAGAAAAATAAATATCATCAGTATCTATATTCTCCATTTAAAAGAGAAACATCTTTTAGTTCTTTCTGACCTGCCTCATCTCCCATATTGCTATTGTATGAAAATTTAGTTCCAAATTACTACTAAAATAATTTTTATGGTAAAACTTTTAAAGATTTAACTCTGTGTGAGTGTGTGTGTGTGTGTGTGTGTGTGTGTGTGTGTGTGTGTTTGTGAAATAGAGGATCAGTGGTGATTAATTCAGAGACTTTGCATGTCCACAACTGTCTTGATTACACCTCCCTTTTTGGATGATAATTTGGTTGCGTTTGCAGTTTTGGTTCAGAGTTGTTTTTCCTCAGGCCTTTGAAGATGTTTCTCTATTTTTTTATATGCACTGTGGATAAGAGAGATATCTGGTGTCAATCGATTCTCTGGAATTTTAATTTCAGCATGTTAATATATTTTATCTCTTTAAGGATTTTCTTTATTTATAATAGCCTTAAGTATCACTTTGATATATCTAGGTTTCTTGTTAAAATTTTATTATTTGTTTGTTTATGTTTTTAAAAATTATCCCTAATAGGACTTCATGAAATTGCTTAATCTGAGGACTCAAGTGTTTCTTCTTTTCTGGGAAATTATTAGCCATAATTTAAAAATATTACCACCCTTACGATCTTTCTCCTACATTGCCTAAGAGATAAATTCTCCCTGCTTACCCTCTAGCTGTGTACATTCAATCCTTCAGCTTATATGTTGATAGATAGGACTTCCTTTATATCTGGTTCCTTTTTTCAGGTCTACTCGTTTTTCAGTTCTACTCACATTTCCCTTTTTGCAGCATGACATTCCATTTTATAATTTATTTTTAAATCTCTTTGATGAGTTGCAGTGGATTTGGTGAGAGAGAGGGAGATTTTAGTGTCTGCTTGGTCCATCATTTTAAAATTAGAAGTCACTGCTCGATAAACTCTATTTTCTACTCATTGTACTAAAAGAAGTAAGCCTTAGTTTTAAAATATTAACCCACACTGTATTAAAATAAACAGAATTTGCAACATTTATAAATTTTAAGTCCAGCTAATTGGCCCAAGATCTCTCTTATAGCTTAGTGTTTGGGCTTTGAATGTGGTTTGCACTTGGTCATTATTTGTACCAATGTTAGAACATCCTCACCTGTGGTTGACAGTGTTCCTGCCCGGGCCCCTGTTTTATAAAGTGGGGAGTGGTAAAGTGTTGGGCTTGGCTCATAATTTTGTTGAGGTTCAAAATGCACCACAGGCAGCACTGGATTCATCTGTCCGGGCAATGCATCTTCTATTACCATCTCATTATTGTCCCATCGAAAAGCGTCCATGAACATGCCGTGAACGAGAACACCATCCTCAGGAGAGGGCAACTGAAATGCATGCAGAAGTTTAAAGGAGAGAAGAGGAGAAGGGGATCAGCAGCTGCAGACCATCTGCTCTGTCTCACATGCTTCTCAGTTAATTCTAAGGACCGCTTTGTAGATTGCTGTTCTACTCACACTCTAAAGAGGAGAATACTGAAGCTCCGAAAGGTAATGTCACTTGCTTCTCAGTTTGACACTGAATCTCATACTCCATCAACATGTCTAATAGGGGACACCCCTGAGAAACCCATTCATGGCTTCAGACCATCTGATATCATGATGTTATGACTTTCCCTTTCTCATGGGAAATGGAGGGGATAAGAGGGCTGTGATTATCATCTGTTATTTTTGTAGCAAGGTCTTTCAAGGATATGGGTGCCCTTTTAGAAGATAAATTATATATCTTCAGTAATATTTGCAGAGTGCCTATGGAAAGTTCCTTTTTTGAAAAAACAAATGACGCTCGATTCTAAGGCACCATGATAGCTCAGTGTACATGACCCCAGTGGAGATGTGTTATGGACTGGGGAGGGTATACGGACAGAGGCCCTGGTGTCACTGTGAACTTCTGTCCATCAGAGTCAGTCTGTGTGGCAGAGCGTGCCAGGCACAGAACAGGGCCCGCGTCCCGGAAGGCCTCAGTGAGGCCTGTTGTTCCCGGGTGTAGTTCTGCCCTCCTGCAGCCTCAGTGACTCCTGACATAGGCCTGAGACACCCTCCTGACTAGGAAGGGTCTCAAAATAACGAGGAGTGCATCTCTAAATTTATTTTCCCTTTACTTTTAAATACCGAGGGTGCCAAAAATATGTATACACATTTTAAGAAAGGAAAAAAACTGCATTAAAATTGTAATACTCAATATATAGTCACATTTGATTTCTGCAATTACAAGAGGTGCTCATAGTGGTTACCATTAGCCTCCAGACACTTCTGATTATGGCAAACTACTGCTACATAGATAACATCTCTTAAAATGTGTATACATTTTTCGGGCACCCTCTGTATATTTTGATGCTAAAACAAATTTTCTTAAATATGTAAGCCTTTTTATTGTCATTTGAAGATCCAGGCAATTCAGAGGCATGGGGTTATTAGTATTTCATGGGCATGGGATCAATCTGATCTGTGCGTGTGTTTGCTAATCAGGGCAAAGAATAGATTAATCAGATGGGAGTAGAGTGGACACTGATAGAATTACCCAGGAGCAATCCCTGCTAACTAATACCATGGAATTTTAAGGAAAGTCTAGTTAGTAAAAGCCACTCACCCCAACCCCACTGATTGGTTAATGAATTCTTTAGTGGCAAGAGCACTCTGGAGCAAATCTTTGATTTCGTGGCTCATGTAGAAAATGATGAGGCCCACCGGGATGGACAGGTGCTTTTAGGTGGAAGCTCCCCTCTGCCATCAATAGCTTAGTGCATCTGAGTTGGGCAGCTCGGAGTGGCAGCAGTAGTTTTCATCCCTGGCTGTATACTGGAATCACAAGGGAGCTTTAAAAATTAATGACGCCTGATGTAATTGGGGGTGATTCTGATGTAATTGGGATGTGGCTTGGGCACTAGGATTTATTAAAAGTGCTGCAGGTAATTTTAACCTGTAGTCAAGGTTGAGAATCACTGATATGCTAGAGCAGTGATTCTCAAACTTTAGTGGGCTAAGAACCCCATGCAGGACTTGTTAAAATATAGATTTCTGGACCCCACCCCAGAGTTTCTGATTCAGTGGTTCTGGAATGAGGCCTTGGAATTTGCATTTCTAATAAGTTCTCGGGTGATGGTGCTGTTGTGTTCTGGGGACCCTACTTTGAGATCCTCTGCTCTAGAGAGAGTGAACTATGAGAGTCTGAGTTTAAATGATGTCCTTGGTGCTTTCCTTTTCTGTGATGTAGTTATATAATGTAGGAAGCTAGTGTATCAGTTCTGCTAGGAGAAAGCTGAATGAATGATGCAGGTAATTCAGCCTATAATAATTGTTATTTATTGTGTGCATACTATGTGTGGGTCATACCACATCTGCAGTTTTGTTTACACTGCACTACTACTCTGAAAGTGGTGGCATCAGTCCCAGTTTACAGACCGGAACACTGAGGTGCAGGCATGTTAGTAATTGCTCTAGTACACATGGGTGGCAAGGGGGAGAGGCAGAATTTAAATTCAGGCTGGTTCTGAAACTCTTGCTTTTAACCTCTTGCTATATTGCCTGCACAAGGAGAAAGTTACTGTAGGTATCCATGATATTGCGATTTCTATATTTGGTCATTCAGATACCCAAAATATTTTTCTCATATAGAGTTGGTCTTCCTCCTTAGTTCTGACTCACAGCTTCCAAAATGGAATCTCCTAAATGTGGAGAATGATAATGGTGTCTTTTGTGATGCTAATGAGGTGGATTTTGGAAGGCACTTAAGTATGGGGGCTGGTTGCCAGTGGAGTCCATCAGGTGAGAGTTTGAACTTCAGCATGTCCCCACACTCCCCACCTATGGGGAGGGGAGAAGAGCTACAGATTGAGTTCAGTCATCTACAACCAGTGATTCAATCCATCATGCCTATGTAATAAAGCTTCCATAAACACCCTAAAGGATTGGGTTTGAAGAGCTTCAGGTTGGTGAGCAGGTGGAGGTTTGGGGAGAGTGGCACACTTGAAGAGCATGGAAGCACCATGCCCTTCCCCGCACACCTTGCCCTATGCATCTCTTCTACCTGGCTGTTCCTGAGTTAGATCCTTTTATAATAAATCAACCCAGTTAAGTAAAAAGTTTCTCTGAGCTTTGTGAGCTGCTCTAGCAAATTAATTGAGTCCCAGGTGGGAGTTGTGGGAAACTCTGACTTATAACCAGTTGGTCAGAAGCTCAGATGACAACCTGGGCTTACAACTGGCATTTGAAATGGGGTGGGTGGTGCAGCCCTGTGGGACTGAACCCATAACCTGTGGGATCTGATGCTATCTTGGGGTAGATAGAGTCAGAATTGAGTTGATGTGTAGGATGCCCAGCTGGTATTTGAAAATTGCTTGTTGGTGTAGGAAAACCCCTCCCCGCCTCCCCACATTGAAATTGGGTTCAGAGCCAAGTTAGTATCTGAAGAACTAAAACATTGCTTTAAAAAATATTCTACAAATTAGACTAATTTAGGCAGTTCCTATCTAGTCATTGCTCATCGGGGGTGTGAACCCCATCCTACCTGTCCTGCTCCTGCATATGGGAGGCAGTAGGGATAGGGGAGGCTGGCCAAGATATTGAATGACAGTGGGACAGAAGCTGCTTTGCTGTAACAGCAATCAGGGGACAGTACCTCCATGTCCATGGGCAGTTCTTGTCCAAACAGCACTGTCTTGGCAGCTTCTATAACTGCAGCTTGATCCCGATAGATGGGAGTCATGTTGTACTTAAAACTCAGCTCATCTATAGGCAAATTGTATTTCCGAGCATGATTTTGAAGAGTTCCTATGAATATAAAAAATCAGAAAAATGGATCCTTCAAACAAGACCACTACTGCCCAAACAGGGCCCCCACTTGCCCCAACCAGGCTACTCTAGCATTAGAGAGCTTCCTCTCCACCCAGAAGACCTAACCATTAACACCTTATCCTGAATTAGTGCATTGAAACAGGAAGTCTGTGGGAGGGGCGGAGCTGACACATGTACAAATTTTGGTCATGGTTGGGAAGCGAGAGAAGACTTAAGTCTGAAGTAGTCTCCCATGAGGGAGACAAACAGGGAGGGAGTTTCAGAGCCCAGTCTTCCCAACTTTACAGCCTTGCTCAGCTTGTCTTGTATAGGCTGTTTAGTAGGGATTCAGAATGAGAGTGATTGAGGGCTTGGCTAAGTAGCATCTAGTAGCCCAGAAGCCCTGGCCCACTCTGGGGCTCCCTAGCAGACATCCCTGGAATTTCCCCTCACTCGCCCCGCACCCCCAGGCTGCTGGGAAGACATCAAGAGTATTTTTTAGTCAACCATAATTAAAAATAAAAAATTTAGAAAAAAATTTTTTTAGAGGGAAGAAAACTGCTCAGAGTTGGAGCCAGAGTCGGCAGAGAGCACGTGTGCCCTCAAGCATGGGTTGCATGGGGAATTGGGGCACATGGTGTGGCCCCAGGGACAGAGGCGCTTGCGTTTGCATAACCTGAGAGGGGCTGGGATTAACTTGTTGAGGAGCATCTGCTATTGCTGCCATCCTTTTCCCTGGCAAGCAAGGAAAACCAGGGCCTTGTTGGACTTCCCTCTATGATCAGTAGCCCCATGGGTAGGCCATTGGCAGCTCAGCCATTTTGCCAGGTCCTAGAAACCCAGTGTATAACAAATCATGATCTTTTCTGTGGGATTTTTGTAGGGAAAGCACTCATACCTGTTAGAAATCCTTGAGGAAAGAAGAAACCGGAGATCCAGAAGGACTTAGGCTGTCCTCTTTTGAGCCACAACTAAAGGAGAAGCATTACACCAGAATGTACTATTTTTCTGAGATGTAGTTTGTTATTTAAATCAAAGTCATATTCTGGAGGGCCTCTCAGGAGGCAGAATCTAAGCCAGGCCTGAGTTAGTTACCAGCTCTATTCCTACTGCCCGCCCTGTCCCCCTTCCTCACTCACCAGCCTGACCACAAACCCAGGCCTGGTTATTACAGAGGGTACAGAAGAGGGAGATGGCAGCAAGGTCACACCTGGCAGTTTGGACCCATTTCAGATTGGGTCTGTACCTCATATGGGGGTCCTAAGAACTAGATTTGAAGCTCCAAGGATGGCACGAAATTAAAATGGGATATTGGGAAGGGCCTAGGGAAAACTACATTATAATCAGCATAAGATGTTTAAAGTGATGCCATTCTGGAGGTTTCTGTTTCTTTGGGCTCAGGCGATCCCTCAAGTGATGTCGATATTTCAGTTAGCTAGGGATTCCTAAGGACCTTAGGGCCAACTGTGTCACTAGATTCATCAAACCCCAAAGAAGAGCATTTTCTTACGTCCACAAATGAGGTCCTCAGAATAAGGTCTTTGACCCACGACCCTAGTGGTTTTAGGGACGGGTAGGCTGTTTTGGACCACAGAGAGGGAACCTGGTTGTTGAGAAAACTGTTATACACCTTTTCCATTTCTTCAGACATCACCACAAGTCCAGCAATGGCTTTGTTGAGTGTTTCTAGAGAAGTCTGAAAGAACAAAAAAGGGTTGGTGCCCT